GATTCAGAAGCAGTAGTAGGAGTAGAGTCAATATCCATTGTAGTTGAGGATTCTGGAGGCACAGTTACAGATGGTTTGTCAACAATCATCAGAGCCAAAGGATTGGTTTCCAGAGTGACTTCAGGAGCAGATCCTTCAAGAGTCTCAGAAGTAGCAGACACTCTAGAAGTTGAGGGTGCATATTCGAGAAGCAAAGTAGGAGATCTGTTCACATTCCATAGCATGGTTTTGACAATCTCAGCGAATCCGATCTTCGCATCATCAGAGCAGACACTTTTCAGATTTGAAGCAACAATGTTGAATCTGGAGATGAAGCTATTCCAAATAGCATCAGAGTCATCTGAATTCATGCTTGAGAGGCATCTCTTCTTCACAGAGTCTAAACTCATCCTTATTTCTTTCTTGAAATTAGCAAATAAAACATCAACATTTAGCCTAGATTTAGGTTTAAGAAAGGCTTCCAGAGTTGATGGTTTGGATTGAACTGGTGGGGGTGGTATGGTAAAGGTTGGGATAATGAAGTGAGGACGAGGATATAGTGGTTTTGATTGAGCAGGCATGAGGCGAAAGAATGGTTTTATTCTGTGTATATATGGAATAATAGTTCTGGGATTAAAAGAATAGGGAATGAAGGCAGATTTCCTTGGTTTTATCACAAAGTGTTTAAGTTTTAAATCAGAGGGAAGGGGATCAGATGGTAAAGGTTTCAAGGATGCAAATGAAATAAAATCAGATGATCTTGGTTTAGGTTTTGGAGTGGGTGTAGGAATGATAACATCAGATGAAGTAGATGTATCTGGTTGTCTAGGTTCATAGCCACGAAGAGATGGGGGTGAGTTTACTTCAGGGTGTACATCAGATTCAGATGAATCAGATGATTCAGATGAATGACATGATGTGGAAGAAATATCAAAGAGAGTTGTCAAAGGTTGAATATCTAGGACAACAGAATCAGGTATGAAAGATTCAGAGGGTTGGATAGGTTCTGGTTCAGGATTAGAAGGAGTGGATTGTTCTGGTTGTGGTTGTTGTTGTTGTTCTGGTTCTTGTGGTGTTGGTTCTGCTGATGGTGTTTGATCTTGAGGTTCAGATTGTTCTGGTTCAGAGTTTTTTGGTTGTTTAGATTGTTCAGAAGTTATGGGTTCACTATTTGTTGGTGGTTCAGATGATTGTAACAGTGTGGTCTCAGATGCAGTTTGTTTAGAAGATGAAGGTGGTTGTATAGATGATTGAGATGGTACAGAAGTGGTTTGAGTTTGGGAAGACGGGGGTTCAGGAACAAAGCTAATTGTTGATGATTCTATTGCAATTTCAGAAATAATAGGTAAGGATGATTTAGTACCTGTTTTCTTAATGCGTTTGATAGAAGCAGAAGGAGCTTCGCCAGAAGCT